GTGAATGAGAATGTGCCAAGAAGGAATCTTAGCTTAGTTGAATTGTCATTGTTTTCATTGGAGACGTGACTTCTTGCTTCATGAGTGGGGTTATGTATCCAATAATTGGATCGTATTACGAATTGTTTTGCTTCTATACCTAGCCATTTCACTTCTATCCTTACTCTCTTTAAACCATTTTGACTTCGATGCTGACAAATATTTTCCATGAATATTTCCATATGATTGACAGAATATTCAATTTAGTACTTTATATGCTATGCTAACGTTATTAATCACGCGGCTCTTGTTAATAGTAGGTTTAGTAATACTTGCTTCTGCGACTTATAATCGTAAAACCCATTTTCTTATCTTTGACTACTGCAACGAAGTATCACTGATGATAGCACATATTTTCCCTGTTGCAGCTATTCCGAGACTTCTTTGTGAATGGCAGTTGCCCGAGCTTGAATGAAGTGCGTCGACGTATAGCGCATTCGCAGTTGCAGGGTCGTCGTAACGCTAACAGTGTTCGCGCCAAGGTGAAGAGACTGCAAGCCAGTGGTCGATGGAAGGACTTTGAAGTCCTACCATGACGCACACGTACACAATGACTCTTCATTTCTACTTGTTCTCTCTCAATGTCGTTTTCTGCCACCACTACCGCCACAGCATCAGGTGTTTTCGTGGAATCGTTGGCCCCTCCCCTCTCTCTCCATTAACACCCGTCTCCAGCCCATCCCCTATTTGCATTTGAATTGAGCATAGTCTCTTCCTTTCTATTTCCTCCCCGTGTGGATGTGAGATGTGAGTCTCCGTTTTGTCCCCTTCTCCTTGACGTTTCGCACCCCCCACCACACATGTACTCAATAGCACACAAACTCAGTCCTGTCCTTTCTCCCCTCACAACAAATCCTGCGTCAATTTCTGTCTATTCCTTTGTCTCCATTCATGCGCGTGAGTATTTCACTCCTTCCTTCCTACCTTCTTTCTAAATTTTTTCTTCAATGCGAGTAAATCATATTGTCGTGCGACTGGCACTTACCTTTTTCTCTATTCGCGGGTTTTAATCTTGTTGTGGACATTTGCGCCCTTCTCGATTATTTATTCATTTATATCAAATGGCAGGCGTTTTGATTGTTATCATTAGCCCTTTAGTTGACTTCAGGCTTCACAGGGTTGAAGGAACATCAAAATGAAAAAAGTCGAGATGGGGGCGGGGAACAGAAGAATGATTCACAGATGTAGAGGAGACAAACAGACACAAAGGTAGAGAAAAGGTGAGGTGAGTACTGGAGAAGTAGTCGAATATGACATAGAGTGGGGTGATGGTAGTTTGAAGTGAGAAGTCAACTGCCAGTCAATAGACTTTTTTGCCGTATGAGTATACGTTGCCCAGAATGCACCACGTGGAGT